TGACCTTCGCTACGCAACCCAAGGTCAAACTGATGTGATCAGTAAATACATCTTTTTAAACGCCACAACTTTTGTCTGAAACATTTTTTTGTAAAACTTATATTTTTCCTGATATTCGGGCGTCCCGGTACTTTCCGAACACCCTGTATATTGTCCATAAATCGATTATTCAGATTCTTTTGAACTTTTTAGTCTCTGCACTTTCTTTACAAGCCAGATAGCACAGAGAATTAAAAAAAAATTCAAAAAGAATTCAGTCGGTATGTCACCAATTCTGTTCATTTTCAGATGCAAAAAGAATTCTTCAGAGTTCAGTTTAGTAAAAAGAACTCTTTTTGCATCCAAAAATAAACTCAGAATTGGTGACATATGATTGAGTTCTTTTTTAATTTTCTGTGCTATCTGTGGGAACTTTTATATTATTCTTCAATCTGCTTCAATCGTTGCAAATAAAACTGTTGTGCACCAGTATAATTTTATTTAACAATTAACAATTGAAGGTACTTGTGTATTTTACATTACACAAGAAGAGTATCATGCTCAGTATCATGTAGAGTATAATAAACTCCAATGAGGATTCAGTAACGAATCTCATGATGATATTTACTGCGCGATCTCTTCTTTGATGAAATTAATCTAATAATAAACTACGCTAATAAAGCGTCCAATGCTTTTTTCACCTCGGCAAATATTTCGTCCACTGTTCCTTCTGCATTAATCTAGAACAGATTAAATTTTTATTTGCTAAAGTAAAATATATCAGATGTCTGGAATAAGTAGAGGAATTCTATCAAGTTTTTAGACATACTCTGACAACTTTATCTTTGTAGTGTTCGACAATCTCATTGTTCTTCAAGTTAAATATCTCTATTCTCTTTTTGATCGTCTCTTCATTGTCATCTGCTCTTTGAGAAACAGCAGCACGTCCGAGAAGTCTTTTCTTCAGAGTTTCATTTGCTACATCGAAGAAGAGAATCAAGTCCACAGAGCATACCTGCATAAAGACATTAGTATTTTTAAATATACAAGAACAAGAAAAGAGATAAACAGCAACAAAAAGAGAATTAAACTTTGAGTCAATTAGATATTGAAGACTGAGAATAATGGGTTAGAGATTAAATTCAGTTAATTGGTCAATTTTAATCTTGATTTTGTTCATTCTAATTCATTCAATAGAAGTTCCAATTCAGATAGCATCAATTTCTATAAAAAATACCTTAGAGATGTCCAAAAGACATTTGAAAAAAATAGGTCATCTTTCAGAAATTTATCTGTAGGAACTCTGATGGAAATATTTTACTGAAAATATTTTTGAATTGACTCCTTTCCATTAAAATTTATTATGTTCATAAAATTTATTAAAATTCATTAAAATTCGTAAAATTTATTTTATTGTTATATAACAATAAAATTAATTTTATAAATTTTGATAAATTTTAATAAATTTTACTGAATTTTAACTAATTTTAAAGAATCTTGATGAATCTTAATGAAAAAACATTAATTAAAAGAGATCTCCGGTAAATATTTCAATAAAATATTTCTATCAAGGAATCTTCAATTTGCAATCCTTAATCTCTAACATCTATCCTAATTAAAAGATTTAATAAAATTAAATAAGAAAAATATGTATAATTGAAAGCTGTTTTTGGTGATGAAAATGAGAAAATTATATAGAAATGCATATATATTCATATAAATACTTTATATTGTTTAAATGTTAAAAATAAGTTACAATATAAAACTAAAGAAATTGATAACTTTTTCATATAAGCTGAAACATAAGGAATTGAATTTCTCATAGAAATAATAGTAGAGATCATATAACATTTCAATGAAATTTGTATACATTTATCAATTCTTATCATAGAGATCTTTTAAAGTAGGATAAACTGATTCATCACCTTCTCCTCAAAGAGAATGCCTTGGTCCTTTTCACGAGGATACCCATCGATAAGAAACCCAGTTTTGGTAGTACCCTCCTCACGAGCCTTATCCATCTTTTCCTTTATGAGCTCCAACACAATGTCCTAGCGAAACCACATGATCTTCACACTGAGGAAAACTAGATTCGTTTGCGTAAAACGCGTGATCTTATCAGTCTTGAATGCACACACTCTTCTGTTTGCAAGTCGCAATTCAAGTGTGTTCAATAAGCAATTTAGGCGATCGAATGGAAACCGAAATAACTTGTCGAGTATTACATACTGTTGGCACGAATAATCCTTTGGACATCAAGTCCTGGAGTGAAGCACCCCTCTCGCTACCGCTGGCGACTTCCGCGCGCAACAGATCCCCGCTGCTCAGGTGAAGGAATCCGTAATTCTCGATCATACGATCGCATTGTGTCCCCTTGCCGCATCCTGGTCCACCGATCACCCAAATCGTCTTCATCCTTCCCGCGTAGCTTTTTCCTCAACGGCGCTGTTGACTAAAAATGGCGGTCATTTTAAATTTCTCTTTAAAGATTCGAGAGAAAAATGCTCAGAAAAAGAGAGACTTTGTATATCATTGTGGACGTATTATGCGCTAATTTCGAGTGTCTTTGGATTGAGATATTTTAGACTTTTTAACTGATTTAATGTCTAACAATCTTCATAGGTGGTTGCACAATTCCTTTTAGATTTCCGCATGAAATGCGAATGATTCCTCGAGGCTGCAATAACTTCGAAGATATTCTGTTACACTTCTAATATTCCTGTTACACTTCTAATGATGAAAAATACGGAAGTCACGTTCCCCGGTTACAACGAGAAAGTGATAAAGCTCGCGACGTACAGCGAAAATAAACTGAGTCGAGGGGAGAAAACTTCGAGAAACCTCGGAGTTGCGGCAAACAATGCCGGGCCGAGCCGAATGCAACGAATAAACCGTGAAAACCAAGTGAAATTTCAAACGTATCGATTTTTTACTCTCCCATAAACGGCGAGACCCGCTCACAGCGCTTGCGCCCGGCTCGGGAAAGCTCGTCGAGGTGCGGCGTCTTGTCACCTTGAACTTTCTCCACATAAAGCACTCCGTAAAGACTGAACCGCGCTTGCGAATCAATCACAACCGATAGCTCTCGAGTTACCGGATGAAATGTTCCAGGAATCCAAGATCAAACGACGAAAGTCCTTGAATCTTAATGACTATTCTACGTATCGAGAACGCTAAATACAAAGCACAGGATACGAGAAGGACAGACGAGTGCAAAAGCACGAAAACGACTAAAATATATCCGGCCTGATCTCTCTCTCATTCCCCGGGATCAGGCCATGACAAAGCGGCATATTGCATAATATAGTTAGCTAAATCTATATAAATATAGTAACGCTCGAAAATAAACTCGTGGCAAACGTGTGAGATTCCAGCTAGATTGCATTGTGTATTGTGACACATTATAATATATTATGTAATCATCTATTTGACTCAACAACACTTGCTGCTTGCACTCTCACATGCGTCTTTTACATTGAAATTAAAGTCATAATTACACTCTATCTTAAGGGAATGCAAGAGAAATCAAGTTTCTTCACTGAAAGTGCTATTAAAACGAACGGGTTTAACACACTCGGTGCCGAACATTGCTTGCTATGAATATAAACAGTAAAACGATAATTACATAATATATAAAAGGAGCGTAAGAGAAAAATTATTTAAGTTACATTACATTCTCTAAGAGATAGGAATTCTATTATGTCAAACTCACTTCAAAGGTCACGGATCTGTTTGTCTAAATATTGTCCTGAGCCGTCTCTTTTACTCCACCGGAATGAAAGCAATGACGTATATTGACTAGAATGAAAATCAATTCACACGGATAGGTCAGGTACTTGACAGTCACCCTTGAAATCGTTGTGTAATTGTCAAGGATGCTTCGGGAAAATAAGTCTTCCTCTTTATTTATACGGATATTTGTTTTAGACAAGAACACCGAGCCACTCCTTTCCTTTCTTATTACTTTTTTTTATCTTCAAATAATTATAATGTAAATTTTAATAGTTCAGACCTAAGGTCAAATTTTATGGGCCAAGAATGCGTGAAAGTACGCCATGATACAAATCTTATACAAGATGGATGTCACATATGTTCATAGACCACAGATGTCAGTTAAGATTCGAGTCCAATGATCCGTAAACATATCCGTATCCGTAACCATAAACGAGTAACCAAAATCGAGTCGTGATCAGGATACCTATTATGGATTTCTTCGAAATCAATTCCGATCGAAAACATTCAGTTATTTCCTAGATTTCTATTGTCTTTTCTAGGGGAAACGGAATTATTCCAATCGGAATTGATTCCGAATGACTCCTGCACACAGGACGCGGTAATGCTTGCCGCGCGGCGGAAGTTCGCGCGACAGCCAATCAATATGCTGCTTTCCGTAATAACCTTCTAGCTCTTACGGAAAAATAACACATTGATTGGCTGTTGCGCGGACTTTCGCCGCGCGGCAAGCATTACCACATCCTATGTGCAGGAGCCAGAAGAAGTCCATAATAGGTATCCAGGGATGGGTAATATGCGTGGCAGGAAGATGTTGTGCACAATTCTGCGCATAATATGCATAAAATGTTTATTATGCATAGAAAACGCGCAAAATACGCAGAAAACATGTAGAAAATGCAGAAAACCACTGAGACGCTCCCACTCTAATCTAAAATAACCTTTCTTTCTTCAATATATAATTCCAGGCAGCTTGCACTTTGCGCTAATACCACTCCACGATTTGAAAAGAGATTGCATACCACCAAAACGACTTACGTACGACTTTGCCAAAAAAAATAAGTAGTTTGAAAAGGATCCTAGGGACATGTACGTATCTCCAAATGGTCGAACCAAGCCTTCTAAAATAACTTACCCAGCCAGAAATGAAAAGTCGTATCGACATCGAGCTGACTTTTCATTTCTGTTTAGGTACAATCCTACTCGCTGCTCTTGAATCAGTTTCATTAATACATCTGTATATACATGTAGATATAAAGAAATTAAAAAATGAAATACAGCGATGAACTAGATTCAAAATGGGCGCATTCAGCGAAAAAAGCGCTCAGTGAGCAATCAGCGATTATTGGTTCTTATTGTTAAATCCCTAAATCTAGACCAATTACAATGGGCGCATTCAGTAGAAAAAGCGCTCAGTGAGCAATCAACGATTATTGGTTCTTGCAATTAGATCCCTAAATCTAGACCAATTACATTGACAAATTACTCAACTGTTGTGCAACTGTTGAGTAATTTGTCAATGTAATTGGTCTAGATTTATGGATCTAATAGCAAGAACCAATAATCGTTGATTGCTCACTGAGCGCTTTTTCTACTGAATGCGCCCATTGACGAATTACTCAACTGTTGTGCAACTGTTGAATTCGCTGAACGCACTTAATTTCATGTTTTTCATGATCATGGACAAATATTTATGCTTTGTCTTATATACAAAACAGTTATAAAGCCAACCAGAATGTTTTATTCATTGATTTTATTCTGATTGGTTGTCGTAATCACTTACAACCATTTACGACCATTTACGACCACGCTTACGCAATTGTAGAATAGCTCTATTACGCAATTGTAGAAAAGAAGTTATCTCCTGGTTATTCAACCTACGTTTATTGGTCGAACAAGCTTTATAATTATAAGCAACTTATAAGCTTTATAATTGGCTAATAGAAACTTATGACGTCATTAATCTAGAGCCAGTCGAATACGCTATTAGTTATATGCGTAGATTACTCGAGTTTTCTGCACATAAAACTTCATGCATAAAACGTGAGGTATTAGGCTGAATTCCTACTGAGCGCGTCACGCGTCGCGTCGTCTGCCTGCATCATGAGTTAACCAATCAAATCCTCTAATTAGGATGACACGACACGTGACGCACGACGCATTTGTTCCAATGGAACGATATGATTGGTCAATTCGTGACGCAGCAGACGACGCGACGCGTGACGCGCTCAGTGAGAATTCAGCCTTATGGCTCCTGCACACAGAACGCGGCAACACTTGTCGCGCGGCGGAAGTTCGTGCGACAGCCAATCAATATGCTACTTTCCGTAATAACCTTGTAGCTCTCACGGAAAAACAACATATTGATTGGCTGTCACGCGAACTTCCGCCGCGCGGCAAGCATTACCGCGTCCTGTGTGCAGGAGTCATGAGAAAAGATATACTTGTCTCACTTTAACTAATTGTACCAGTTAAGGCTGCGTTCAGATTCCCCACCCAGGTGTATTCTATTACTAGAAGTGCTATAGTATATGTCACATATATTATAGTGTTTCTAGTAATAGAGTGCACCCGGATGAGGAATCTGAACGCACCCTAAGGGGGTCGATCATAAATCTTTCACGTGAATCTTATGTGTACTTTTCACTTTTCACAATTTCACTTAAAAAGGTTCACGTGAAATATGACATAACCTTACCATGTGGTAACATATCTGTGAGGGCAAAACAAAATATTATGTATAAAATATTTAAAAAGTAATATAAAATTATAATTTATATCTATAATATAATTACTAAAATATAATGTATATAAATATAACGGTTAATACAAATATCCTTCTAGCGTCAACCGTAGGAAACTAAACAATTTCACGTGAATTTTCAGTTTATGAGAATATTACCCACACAGCACAGAAGTTTCAAAAAGCTTTCAGAAAGGTTTCAGAAACATTGAACCTTTCTAAGATCTTCCTGAAATCTTTCTGAAAGCTTTTTGAAATTTCTGTGCTGTGTGGGTAGTGTTTCCCCTGCAAGGAAAGACATTTTCACGTGAACCTTTATACCACCAACAGACTTGCTTAAAATATGAAAGATGACGCATAGCATAGATAACATTTTGTATAGTAACATTCCGTTCCGATTGGTTATATTATCAAACCAAATAACCAATAGTTATCAATTGATGTTGCTTGAGTATATTGTAATATTTGTTTTATTTACAAATTCACGTTAATTCTTTCATTTTTCACGAGTTTAGTGAAGGTTTTCATCTTTCACGAGTTCATTACAAAATTTCCACTTTTCACGAGTTCACACTAGAGGAAAAATTCATGATCGCTACCCTGAACCTATGGCTGCGTTCAGAAAACATAGCTGATCAGTGAGCGGTCAGTGATTATTGGTCCTTACTGTTAGATCCCTAACTTTAGACCAATTACATTGACTAATTACTCAACCGTTGTACAACAGTTGTGTCTTCTGAACGCACCCTATGATCTTTGCTGTACTCACCAGTTCCAGTTCCGAACCAGTGCAATTCTAGTACAGCACTGGTAGTGAATTTCGGCAGCCACACACGCAATACGTAGAGAGTACATACAACTGTCATTAAACGAAATAAAAAATTAAAATTGCAGCAGTCACAGAAAAAACAGTTTATAATTGCTTTGTACATTTGTAATTGCAGTAAGTGTCGTCGTTATATGCAAATATAGCGATTAAGAAGATAAATGTTTAACGGTAACTGTATGTTATTTTAGGTTATGGGTAGACAATGCTGTGTTTTAGGATGTTCCACAGGGGTACATTTACCCTTTCACACATTTCCCAAAAATGTAATTATGGCACATAAGTGGAAAAAGGCTATTTATTCGGAAAAAATTAAGGATCTGACCGACGAGCAAATAAGAAAATGTGTAGTATGTTACCGACATTTTGCAGATAGTGATTATGATTCAATATATAGATTACGAAGATTAAAGCCTGGTGTTGTACCATCATTATTTTTACCAGATAACGGTAACAATAATGACAATTTTGAAGCAGAATTGATTGTAAAAATTCCTACAACAGAAATTTCATGTACCCCAACCATAACTACTACGGCTAGTATCAATTGTAAAGCAATTAACACAACAAGAAATGAACAACTTCCATCAGAAATATCAAAAGTTACTAACACTCTATTAAATGGGGATTTATCAGAAACAGAACTTTTTTCATCAAAACATTCAACAAGTTCATATGATGAGCATATGAAATACTTACATTACTTTACACCAAAAATGTGGAAGTTATATAAAATAGCCTGTATGTTGAAAAGAAAACAAGAAGCTGTATTAAACAAAAAGTTGTCATTCCGTCAGCGTATAAGGCAAGCTAAGCAATATAGTAAAAGTCCTGCAATAGAAGAGTTATTGTGCTCACTAACTTCTACTCAACGAACATTTGTTGAAATGCAGATAAAATCAAAATGTTTACCCAAGGTATGTACACGAGAAATTATACTATGCTACTATAAAAATTAAGGTGTTTGGTGAATCAATCTTATTCTATTTGTAGAACAGACATTTCACATTAGATGAGAAGATTGCAGCCTTGTCTATTATGAAACAATCCAGTAAATGTTATCAATATCTGAGGCAAGTTTTTGATCTTCCCAGTACATGTACATTATGGTCCATACTTCAAAAAGTTAATATTCATCCTGGTCCAATTAATTTCATCAATCGACGCTTGAAAAAACAAGTTAAAGTGATGAAGCAGAAAGATAAACTATGTCTTTTAATGTGGGATAAAATGTTATTACAACCTCATTTAGATTACAATACCAAAAAGAAGTACATTGCCGGTTTTGAAGACTTTGGGAGCAAGAGGAATGTGCTATTTGCCGATCATGCATTAGTTTTTATGGTACGTGGCATACGAAGTGGATGGAAGTTTCCATTGGCATATTATTTCTGCGATGGCGCTATAACGGCTGATGAACTCGTGAAATTTATTAAAACCATTTCCACAATTATAATTGATAGTGGATTACATCTAGTAGCTTTTATATGTAAAGATGGAAAAAGAAATCTTGCGGCTGTGAATAAATTGAAATTAGAATCGGCAAGACGAAAATTACGACGAGGAGAACCATATTGTAAGTATGTCTTGCAACGAGTAATTATCGCTCATGTAAAAATTCTAATCGCTCTTATCTCAAGGAGGTTGTGAGGCAAAATAAGTTTATTAAGAATTTGTTAAAACTTGCACTACATATAGATTTCAATATTATCTAATTGCTCGTGTAACTAGAAAAAGATTGATTATTCGAGAATTAAAATGTTTGAA